TTAAAAGCAAGAACAAGAAATTGTCCATAGTGTGACCACTAGGTTCCCTCCTATAACATTCTATGTCTGATAAAATTATTATAACTGATTTATTTGTCTTCTGGGTAGGCTTTCGGATTCCTTTTTAGTGAGCAGTTATTACGTATCTCTCCAAATAACCAAAACCAAAGAATTTACATCTCTTTGCTTTGTTTTAATAGGAAAAGTAGCTTTGTTAAATCACTCTGATGCATATAAATAAGAACCTTATTCACAATGTTCTTCCTGATGTTTCAAATTTCCACATTACTCGTACATTAAACACCCTGCATTTCTGTCTATGTTGAGTTCAATTCACTATTTCCTTATGATAAGACATCAATTACCTTAGAGAGAGATACAATTTTGAAAATGATTTTTATGCAGGTGGAAAAGTTAAAAATGAGCATGCCGTTTAATAACTGCTTCACATTTGGCAATTGTTTTTAAAAACTCAGCAGTTTGTTTCATTCAGATCACTAATGTGATAACAATTTGACCATATATCTCATGATTGGCCTAATTATCACAAGTATCTGAGACCTATGCTTATGAATGATTGACACATTTTGTCCGTACAGCATCAGTATGGTGGATTTTACTCTTTTGGTTTGAACTACAGAATAAATCATCTAGCGAATTTTATCTCTGCATTAATATGAGTTTATAAGACAAAGGTAGAGGAAACTTGCACTGTATTTCTCACTTAAGATTTACTTTTATAGATAATGTAATATTTAACTAGACATTTCCTCCACAAAGACTAAAGCATTATGTTTCCAAGTTTGACCAGTGAGATTGTGTAGTTTAAAGCTTGAAGATCTATTATGAATTTTACAAGCATACATGGTAATAATTTCTAATGCAAGCATTTTTACTCTTTCTATTATCTTGTTGAGTTATCACTTAAAAATGATAAAATGCACCCATATGTGTCTACAGCTAAATAACTACTAACAAACACCTTCACTGATGTTGCAACCACCACAGATTTGTTCAGTACCCTGGTCTCTGGTAATTTGAGTGTATGTTAGGGATAGTGAGAAGCAGTTACATCTGGACCATAGACACTCATCATTTTCACAGAGAGTATGTATTTGGGTTTATAAGCACAAACACACCTGATGATCTTTCTTTCTTTCTCATTTTACTGTTTTTTCTTGTGCATATTGCCTTGACATCCCCTGTGCTCACAGGGAGATATTTATGGTTCAAGGTTAGATTTTGGGGTTGTTGCATCCACTGGTCATACTTGGGTCCTATTAGCATTTAACAGAGCACTAGACACATGATAATCTATAGTAGAGTTTTTAGCTATAAATACACATTTTGTGTAAAGGACATAAGTTCACATAGTATATCAATATCTTCTTGCATTTTCTTCTTTTCAGTACTCTGATTGCAAATGTACTCAATCAAAAATTTAATATTAATTATGTAACTATTTCTGGACATAGGAGGAGGGTTTAGGGGAATCGTCAAGTGATAATGCAGAATTTTATGGCTAGCAGCTGAGAGTGCTATTACTAAGTCGAATCCAAAGGTCAGGAGAAGGTTGTGGTTATCAGAAGCCAGTTCTTAGTGATACTGTCTTTACCGGGTGCTACAGCTTCCCATTCACAAGTACTCTCAGGCATGGTAGTATTAAAAGGCATCCCAGTGTATCTCCTGGATTCTCAAAATAGTGCTCTTTGTTCATTGCTAAGCAACATCCTAATTGCCCTTCTTTGTCTGTTGCTTCAGTCAAAGGAGAGAGGACAGGCTCAATTTGACAGAATTAATTTCTGATAAATGCATTCCTTCTTCAAGAAATAGAATCTTAAACTCCATTGAGCCCTAATGTCATGGAGGTTGGAAGCAAAAATTGCTGAAAGAGTTATTTCTTGTAATAGCATTCGGGGCTGCTTTCACGCCTTGGTCCCAGAATTACATATTCTGGTTTTGGAGGCAATGGCGTCCTATACTGACCCCAAGAGTAAGGTCTTCACCAATTCCTGTATGATAGACCTCCAGAAGATGCCATCTTTCAGCTTTTAATTGACTTTTCCAAAAATGTATTTAGTCAATTGTTTTAAGTTAATTGAAATATTATGGTATGTGTATTTCAAAATATTGCAAAGGATAATTCATCTTGTTTGCTTGCTATCTTTATTTATAATTGCCTTATTTGAAATATTGCTTAGAAGTGAATTTAATTTTGCCTTAAGATCATTTACTTATTTATATCCCCCCAAGAGAATCTGACTATACTGATAAATAGACGACCACCTCTCACTGGGCAGTTAAGAATATGATAAGCACGGTCGCATTTAAGAATAATGATGCAACTTTAATGAGGCAACTCAATTAAACAATTTTGAACCATGAAGATGACATGTTACAACAACACCCAGTGCCTAACTAGTATGAAAACCCAACAAGCCACAATATCAAAAAGCTATTCCCATTGAGAGGTCCACGTACTTGGCTCCCTGTGTCTCTCTAGGAAGCATCAGTAAGCACAGGACACCTGGTGTCAGTCAAAGCAGAGAGACTAATTTGAAGATATGAGTCCTACACCCCTGTCCCATCTTTTTCCCTTATATAACAACTTAGCTTTCTAAGGATGTAAATTCTTAAACTGTTAGTGCTTACTGAGTGGTTGGTGTGGTCTCTTAGAGGTACTGCTTCAGGCAATTAATTGAATTTTTACTGCAACCTGAGTAAAATTATAATTGAAGCCTCAATGCCACCCATATATTCAGACCAGCTAGTCATTTTCATGCTTTCTTTGTTTTAAACTGTGCTCGCTATTCAGAGGTGATGTGTGGTATACCATCACAAGGGAAAGGTAGTGACTAACTTCACCAATAGTGGTCTTGGGAGAAAAGTTGAAGGTAGGGTGGGCAAATATGTAGTCTAAATATGTGTATCACCTTGTGAGGACCAGAAACTGCCTCTTCCATAATGGAAGGAGGCCGGTGTATCATTTTGATACCAACTATGTTGCTGGTCCACTCCGAAAATGATGGTCAAGATTGGGGGCTAAAATTGGACACATGCAATGGCAGCAGCTAGTTCAGTCCTGAAAGGGAGAAGTACATATTATGCAGCCCATGCTTCCCTGGCTGTTTTGCATGTGGGCCTATTCACAAGAAACAGGGAGGATAGGGAAAAAAGTCGACTGAAATCCACAGGGTAGGCCTTCAAGTCCATCTAGTCACTGAGTTTCTTTTGTAGTGGATGCCCTCTAATACATGTTTCTTGGACCACAAATATCTTCAAACTCTGAATACTGTATATGGTATCTACTGCCACAGAAAATCCAGACATTTATTCTCTTTGTTGGTAGAGATAGAGGAGAAAAGCCTTTTCCAAATTAATAGCTAAGTCCCTGATGCCAGGGAATGTGTTGATTTGCTTTGGTATAGATATAATATCTGTACCTATAATTAGCCTCATAAATTAAGTTTGTGATAAATTATAGTCATTTCTATGATATACCTAAATTTTAGCACTCCAAACAAGTTTGTTAAATGAGGTTTTGATAGGAATCATAACCTCCATATCTTCCAAGTCTTTGACAGTATGTGGATATCTGAACATCACCCAGAGTTAAGACAGTGCTTGTGATGTATTATTTGGTGGAAGGTGAGGAGCAGGCAATTCCAGTGGCCTGCAATTGGCCTTTTGTGAAGATCTCTAGCTTGGGTAATTGAAAGGACTCACAAGACTCCACAGAGAATACTCAGGTAATGCTTTTAATACAGGATATCAGAGTTTGTGGAGTTAAAGTAGGAGAAAGTAAGCATCAAGGGTACAAAAGACTTCCTGGCACGATCCCCAGGGTCATTTCCCATTTGTACGGTCTACACTTTGTCTCAGGAAACAAACCACTGAGATTTGTATGATGAATTTAATTTTTTATACAAGACAAAAATAACTAATGGGGTCCTTTGTGCTCCTCTAGTCCTTTAACTAAGCCAGCCTATCTCATGCATTACAGCAGTTGTAAGCCATCAGTAAACAAACTGGCCTTGGATGTTGATGGGAAAAGGAGAGGAAGACTTTGAAACATAAACACCAAATCTAAACAATTAGTTGGCCACACATCCTTATCTTGTCCCAGAGTTAATACTAGACTCTGGACCTCCATGAAGACAACCATGGGCCTGTCATCATCCGGTTGAGGTGACTGAAATGGAGACCCTGTCAGTTGCTAAAACCTTTATGACACCTGCAAGTTTTCCTTCAATTCCTATTAGTTATTGATGGAATAGCAGTTTAATGTCAGTAAATGAAGAAAGATTTAGTTTATTCTGAACTCTCTGGGAATTTTATGATCCCCACCCACATCATTACCTGGGTGATGAGACCTCATGTATAGGAGTTCCTTGAAAAGAGACAGGAGCTATAAGAACGAATGTTTATCAGAGGAGACGATCTTCAGGACAATGGAGTGGCTTCCCTTCACGTAGGAGCATGATTTTATGAAATGACAATTGCTTTGAGAGTAATAGATAAGTGCCTGCATTTCATGATGTCATATGGATTAATTGGTGTCATATATGAGGGGATTTCAACTGAATGGATGTAAGGAATGTCTCTGGGGGAAATGATTGGCAGAAACTGAGAGTGAGAGATTAGGATTTCGGCTTCTTTGTCTGGGTTTACAGCCAGAACCCAGAACAATGACAGAATTGGAGTGGGACTTAGAAGCCAAGAATCCAGGGAGAAAACGAAAGTGAGAAGTAGAAGGTAGACAGTGATTCAGTGTGCACTGCAGAACTTAGGATCTCTGTTCCATAGGCAGAAGACTCCTCTCAGTCCCAGCTGTATCACAGTTTGAATATCATGGATACCACTCCATTAACTTAGGGAGTAGGGTAGATCTGGGTCTGCAGATGAATCTTTTACTTTTGGTAAAATATTTAAAACAACAGAAACAAATACTTCTCACATTGTAAAAGGCAAGCAAGTTCAAAAATAAAAACATACAGCAATATGAACCACTTTTTATTTATAAGATATAGAACATAACTTTTTGCCACATATATATTCATGAGAGTAGGCACAAGATATTTGCTTCTACTTATTATATTTTCAATTAAGTTATGATCCAGAAGAAAATTAAGCAGAGTTTCATAACATGGTCACATATGAATTGTAAATAGTTTAAAAATAAAGTATTTTAAACTGTTATTTTAAGTGATTAAGAAAGCCAGAAGTCATTAAACTCCTGAAAAATGTGTTCTTATTACAACTTAAACAGGAAAAAATACAGTAAATTACAAAGGTTTAGCCTCTGCAAACCCAAAATTAATACCTGAATGTTACTATACTTGATATAATGATCTATAAGTGATTTAAATACATAAATATATGTTCCTAAGAAAAGCATTTGTCTCTACAAGATAGAATATATTCATCTATTTGTCCGAGTAATTATTTTGAATAAATGCAGAAATAGCTAACAAAATATCCAATCTTGAGTTTACTTTAACTCGTTATGCTGTATAATAATGAAGAAGTGAAGTGATATCTTGACTTCGACATAAAATGACCAAAGATTACACTGATTTTAAAGACTATGATAGGAAAGATCATAATCCAATTGCCAAAATAAATAATTCAACACCATTGTAAATTATTGCTCTGATTACATTAATTATATCTTAAAGCAAACAGCATTTATGTTTGCATCTTTACACTCAACGCATTAAATCATTATAACTATTTAATTATTTCAAATCCTCATAAAATAGAGAAAATATCTTTTTTCTCCTATATTTTTAAAGCTAATTTCCCATCTAAGTATTGTTTACCTTCGTCTTATTTGTGTCACGATTCCTGTAAAAAATAGATATCCCCCCAATGATTTGTATTGTTCTAAGAGAGAGCCATAATTTTAGGTCTCTCAAGCTTGGGTTATAAATATCAAACTCTGTGGTAAATCATTTGCTAAACTTGCTTAATAGACAAAGTTATCACAGACTGAATAATTCCATGAGCCTGAGGACAAAGAATTGGCAAATACATTCTAAGAGAATGTATTTAGAAAAGAAAGAAAGAGTAAGCCTTACTTCTATTAAAATTCAAATTACATCTTCACATTCACTGAAGATTTCTGGCCCACGCTAGGTATCAAGAATCCTAAGTACTTGTGCCTGGTATAGTCGTCATGTTACAGTTTATGAGAGGACCAGGTGAAGTGAGGGAGGAAAGGAAGAAGAAGAAATGGGCAAATTCATTGAGTTTCTGATTAGATGGAGAAATCACTCCCATAGCAAATAGCATTTCTGAGAAATGCATTTTCCCCCTGAAGTATCTGAAGTGTAGCTAAGTACTTTTGCTTCTTCTTTCCAAATACAGATAGGTAAAATTAGTGTAGAAAGGAATTTTTTTTTAATTTGAAATTACTTAAAAAGTTAAATATTAAATTCCAATTATTGATTTTCACTCTACCATACCATCAATCCTGCTAACTTGTCAAAATCAACTAGTTCTCTGAAGCCACAAATTGTTACAATACAAATCAGGTACTATTATTATTAATTCCCAAATCAAGGCAACAGGCACATCAAAGACAAAAAATAGTGTTTTATATTCCAAGGAGGACAAAGTCAGATGTCTCATATAAAAGGAAACTGATGGTATAAACGTGCTTCATAACAGCGTAGAAACCCTAACAGTCTCCTGATATTTCTAATTGGAAGGGAGGCTCTTGTTACAGCTTCCTCTATCCTGCTTCTTGAATAGTTGCCTTAGAGAATGTGCAGTAATTATAACATACAGGAACCAAAATGATGTTAAGTATTTAGAAAATGTTCCATATGATTGATACTGAATACAGAATTAATCATTATGTTCCTAAGGCCTCAAACAGCATTTCAATATGTTGAACTGAAACAAGTGAATAAAGTAAAGCACTAAGATTTCAATAGTAGCAACTTCCATGCGTTTATATGTTTATCTTCTCTTTTTAAAGACTAGATTACCTAAACCTTAATTCTAAATCATGAGACCAACTCCTTGGAAGAGTCTTTAATCTCTGACTTGATAAGCTGAGGAATGGACAAGAGCTTGGAAGAGTAGGAGAGGAATCTGTTCAACTCAGTGGCTCGATTAACTTGATGTGCCCTAACACTATTTCCAGCCAAACTCAAAGAAAACTACTCTCTCTTTTTCTTCTTTCCTGTCTTCCCAAACTTCCAGCAACAGAACAGGCAACATTTTGTGACCAGAAACATAAAAGTTGCCACACAGGCTAGCAGGAACCCAATCACATCCAAAGAACGGTACTGGTACCAGGTGAGATTGTAGGAGGCTGGCCGCAGGTGTTTGGCTCCTTTGTGGCGCATGACAAACTCGATCCAGAAGACTGCTCGATCCAGGGGCTTCATGGGCTGATCATGGTGAATTCTTGATAACCTCATAGCATTCTCTTTATAGCTAAAGATTGGATACATAGTCAGCAACTTGAAAAGTTCATGAAGAACATGATATACTAAATTATGTAATGTTATTAAAGGTTACTACATAATTATATAATTAACCTGCCATAGATGATATCACTGAGAGCCCAGAATGTATATGACAGTTTATTTTCTCATGAGAAATTTCTAGATATGGCAGCCTATCAGTTAGAATTATTCAATATTTCGTAGACTAAGTAATAATTGAAGGTAGGAGAGAAAATAATTTCTGATTGGAAACAGCATTTAAAATGTTCAGAAATAAGAATGTAGACATTTCAGTTAAGAATAAAGAATTTTGATCTCATTTGCTAAGTGTGTTTTAGGAACAAGATAGTGACAGGAAGTAGCATTGAGGAGCAAAACTATGATAAAGAGACCTCCCTCTTCCCCCACAGGTTGGATCTGGAGTGTAAGTGTTAACAATAAGCTAGTCTTCAATGGTAGCAGGCATTGGTTTCTGCTGATGATTCTCCTGGGTCTAGACATTTGAGGCCAAACCAAAAAGTTAATGGGACCCTATGGGTAAAAGGTACGACCTGAGACTGAGTGGAGACTGGAATCTCTGCTTCAAGCTACAGAGGGATGCAAGCGCCAGTGGTGAGAAGCGGCGATAGCAATAGTGAGAACACTAACCGTTATAACTTAACTCAAGGAACATAAGACCAGGCCAGAGTTTTGGTTTAAGGTTTTGGGTGGCTGATCTAGAAGAAGGATTTCCTTGGATTTGCGAAGGAGTTGAAGGAAGGAGTTAATTCTTCCACAGTGAAGTGCAATCATCATTTGAGGAGAAGATAGAACATTAAATTGCAGAAAATAGTGGAACAATGTGTAAAAAGTTCTGAGGAAGAGAATGGGGAGTCATAAAACTTATACAAAGCCCTGTTATCCTTTGGTTTTAAGACAGCAAGGCAGGCTTTTCTTAATATGCAAGAACTTAAGGAATAATTTCCTCTGGAGATATCTCAGGAAAAAAAAGAAACAACAACAAAAGCTCCAAGATCCATAAACAAAATATTTGTTAGAGAACAAACTAAGAAACCCAAAACCTCTCAGGAATAGAAAGACTGAGGTAAAACACAAATGATATTAATAAATCCATATGAATACCAAACCAGGGTTCAACAATACTGGAAATTGTGGTCATCGACAAGATGTATATGCTGTAAGCCTTAAAAGTGAAGTAATGAGAGGGGCCGGCCTGGTGGCACAGCGGTTAAGTTCGAACATTCTGCTTTTTGGTGGCCTGGGGTTGGCCGGTTTGGATCCTGGGTGTGGACATGGCACCACTGGGCAAAAACCATGCTGTGGTAGGTGTCGCAAGTATAAAGTAGAGGAAAATGGGCATGAATATTAGCTCAGGGCCAGTCTTCCTCAGCAAAAGGAGGAGGACAGGCAGTAGTTAGTTCAGGGCTAATCTTCCTCAAAAAGAAAAACAAAAAACAATGAAGTAATGATAAGACCACAAACAAAAATTAAAATGTGAGGTTTAAGAAATAAATATGAGAGGTTGAGAAGTGACTTTAGAGTGAGAAATTCTATATTCACCAAAATTGGAAACATTTTAAAAATAATTATTCTAATCTCTAATGTCAATATTTGTTCATGGATCTATATGTAAATTTTTGTAAGATATTTGTCTATTAAAGAATACTTATCCAAAACCTGGCAATTCTTTTACTTTCACTATAGCTTCTTTCTTTCCCTGAATATATTTTTTTGATTTATTTTAAATAAAATAACACAATTAATGTAATCATTTATTATTGAGAATTTACATTTATTTATTTATGTTCACAGCTATGTTTATCTTGAAATGAAAGAATGTTACCAAGTAAGATCAAAATGAAAGGACTTTGTCCAGCTTTGCTGAGATATAATTTAAATACAAAAATGTGTAAGTTTAAGGTGTATGATGTATAGCTTGATACACTTATACATTGCAATTTGATTACCACTGTAACATTAGCTAATGCCTCCATCACATCATATAATTACCATTTTTTTGTTGTTGTGGTGAGAACATTTAGGATCTACTCACTTAGCAACTCTCAAGCATGTATTACCATGGTTTACAAAGATCCCTAGAACTTATTCATCCTATACATGTATGTTTGTTTCCTTTGACCAATATATCTCTACTCCCTGATCCCCTAGGTCCTGGTAGCCACCAGGGTCTACTCTCTGTTTCTGTGAGTTTGGCCTTTTAGATTACACATATAAGTGATACCATAAGGTATTTGTCATCTCTGTCTGAGATGTCACTTTGCATAATGCATTTATGGTCATCCAAGTTGTCACCAATGGCAGGATTTCATTCTTTTCCATGGTTAAATAATATTCCACTGTATACATATACCACACCTTCTTTATTCATTCATCCATTGACAGCCACTTAGGTTGTTTCCTTATCTTGGCCATTGTGAATAATGCTGCAATGAACATTGGAGTGCAGATATCTCTTCCATGTCCAATTCTCATTTCCTTTGGATTTATACCCAAAAGTGTGATTGCTGAATCATATAGTAATTCTCTTCTTAATTGTTTGAGGGAACTCCTTGCTGTTCACATGGTGGTTGTAGCAGTTTACATTCCCTGCAAAAGTATGTGTTCTCCTTTCTCCACATCCTCATCTGCACTTATTATACTTGTCTTTTCATGACAGCCATTCTAACAGGTGTGAGGTGATATCTCATTGTGGTTTTGATTGCATTTCCTGATAATTGGTGATGTTGAGCCCCTTTTCCTGTACCTCTTGGCCATTTGTATGTCTTCTTTGAAAAAATGTCTATTCAGTACTCCTGCTCATTTTTTTATCTACTTAGTTTTTCTTGTGTGTTTGTTTTGCTATTGAGTTATATGAGTTCATTACATGTTTTGGATTTAACCCATTACCAGATATATAATTTGTGGATATTTTGACCAATTCCATAGATTGCTTTTCATTTTGTGGTCATTTCTTTTGCTTATAGAATCTTTAAATTCAATGCAGTCCCACTTGTTGGTTTTCACTATTATTCCTTGTGCTTTTGGTGTTCTATCCAAAAAATCATTGCCGGACTCATATAAAGGCTATTTTCCCCTATGTTTTCTTATAGGAGGTTTATGGTTTCAGGTCTTACATTTAAGTCTTTAATTCATTTCTAATTAATTTTTGTGAGTGGTGTAAGATAGGGGTATAGTTTCACTCTCCTGCATGTGTTATCCAGTTTTCCCAGCATCATTTATTAAGGAGACTCTTCTTTTGCCATTGAATATTCTTGGCTACCTGGTGAAAGTTAGTGGACCATATATGGAAGGGTTTATTTAGGGGTCCTCAATTCTGTCCATTGGTCTATGTGTCTTTTTTTTTTTGCCAGTATCATTACTTTTTTTACTGCTACAGTTTTGTAGTATAGTTTGAAATCAGGAAGTGTGATGTCTCCAGCTTTGTTCTTTCTCAGGACTGCCTTGGCTATTTTGGGTCCTTTGTGGCTCCATATCAATTTAGGAGATTTTTTTTTTCTATTTCTGTGCCCCAAAGGCTTGAGAAGCTGTCGCTCAACCAGCTCTTCCTTTCTTTTAGGGACTCTTTCTAGCTGAGTAGTTTCCTCCTGGCAGTAAGCAGTGCTGGCTTGGGGATGGGACGATGCAGGCAAAAGGAAGCTATCTTCTTTCTCTTCTTTGGTGATTGTTTTCAGGCTTTTTTTTTTTTTCACTTTCTTGCTACAATTTCTTGCGTGGAGTCAAGAGCTCTCCCAGAGCTAATTTTGTTCATGGATAGCTATGTAATTACTGATGTTTGTCAGGAGACAGAGAGGCTGGTACTTCTATGTCCCCATTTTGACCTCTCAATTTTACTTTCTTTTCTTTTTTTATTTGTGAGGAAGATTAACCCTGAGCTAACTGCTGCCAATCCTCCTCTTTTTGCTGAGGAAGACTGGCCCTGAGCTAACATCCGTGCCTATTTTCCTCTACTTTATATGTGGAACGCCTACCACAGTGTCATGTGCCAAGCGGTGCCACCTCCACACCCAGGATCCAAACCGGTGAACCCCAGGCCGCCAAAGCAGAACGTGCGCACTTAACTACTGCGCAACTGAGGCAGCCACTACTTTATTTTCTTTCGTTTTAAGTTAAAATATAGCAATATAGAATATTTTTGGCTAAAAATTAGCATGTTACCATTTTTATAAAATTATTTCTACATTTTTCTTTATCCTTATGAATTAGCAAAATAAAATATTTGAAGTAATAATCTGTATTGGTAATTCGTTACAGCTGCACAAGGAGAGTTAAGTGAGTTTTAATTTTTGTTTCTCTATTTTTGTGCTGTAAACCTAAATTCTCTATAATGCTATTACCAGCAATTTGTGAGAAATAAACAATAATTATTATTAATAAAAAGTCACATTTTGTGCCTCTTTAACAATAGCTTATTTTCTTTACATAAATTTAGTGTTTCTTTCAGGTTGTAATCAATTACTCATTAACAATACATGAATTAAAATGTCATCACAGATTTGAGAAGTATAAGAAAATTATATTTGATATCAATTAAGGTGTTGGTGTTTATTTAAAAGTAACCAATTTAAAATTGAATGAAAGTTTATTTCTTTTAAAATGCTATTTGGTTCTCAGTAAAGAATATATTCTATACTCACGAAGGGTTGTTAATAACTTCCTTCAAAGCGTTAAGCAGATCGGAACGGGTCATTGTATGCAAGTCTACTTCAACAGCTACCCCTTTGGCCTTCATACGAGCAATATTGCCAAACTGATCACCAAATATTGGAATTCCCACCACAGGGATCCCATGGTAAATAGCTTCATACATTCCATTGGTTCCACAGTGGGTGATAAATGCTCTGGTTTGGTGATGACCTAACAGGAAAAAATATATCATTATTCTAAGTTGTGAGACTTTCAGAAACAGAAAATAATGACCACTGCACAAAACATTGATTCAATTAGACAACATCTTCTATACAACTCTGTGCCATGAGGTCGTATATAAATTCCCATAAACTCTAAACAAAGCAGTAGTTAGTTATTCCAGCAATTAGGTCATTCCCTAAATCTCTGAGAAGGTTTCTGTGGAGTTTAAATGATGGAGAATAGTTGTCAGCTGGACAAGGTGTTGGGGTAAGGAACACATTAATAAGAATAATGGAAACATTGAAGAAACAAAAGTCTTGTATGGCGGGGGAAGGGGAAGCAAGACGTGTAGTGTTTCAGCGGGAGGATGTTGGACTAACAGGCTAGAAAGATAGACTAGGACAAGTTCATGAAGTACTCTGTTTAAGAAAATGGGATTTTGCACTTGATTTTATAACATGGAGTCATTTATAATATTAAAAATGATAAATAGAATTACCCAATTTTTATTTTCAAATAGTTATCGTGGGGAAGAGAGAAGAGAGGCAGTTGAAAACAGATGCAGAGACTCAGGAGATACTGCAACATTCTATGCCAGTTAATGAGAGCCTGACCTAAAAGTATGTTGACTCTGATCTGAAAAGAAGGAGATTGTATAGCAAATGGAGATTATAAATTCCATATTAATGTTAGAGCTTGACAAAATTCTCTCCTTGACCAAACTCTAGTCAGGCTCCTCTGAACATTCTTCTCAACTAGACCCTATTATTTTGGCTTCTATGTGTTGTCTCTGCATTGTCAAATTTTAGCAAGAATCCTCCCGTCAGTTTAGCTAGACTCTCCCAGACTCAATATCTGATCACCATTTATATCTGATCAGTTTCCTAATCCATCAGCATCTGCTAGGTGATGTCTCATCACCTTGACCTACCTTCAACAAACATCTGTTTAGGTTAGTTTATCCAGAGTCCTCCATGCCCCTGAGGTTTCCTCAGAGTAATTTTCCATCCAGTGACCGCCCCCCCTCCCCCTGCTCCCTCTGCTGCTCTGCTCCTTGGCTATAAAATCCCTACTTTTCCTTTTTGTATTCAGAGTTGAGGCCAATCTCTCTGCCTCACTGCAAAAGTCCATGATGGTCTTCAGTAGTTTGCCTTGCAGTCTTTAACGAGAGTCATGAATACTTTTTTCTTTAAGAAACTTCAGAAAAAATGTGAAGAAGACATGAAGTGTTTTATTAGCTTGTTTTGAATACAAATATGTTGTATATATTTGTTATTGAGTAATCATTCAGATTATCCCTCATTCAACTGTGTTTTGTTTTGCTTCTCTTTGGTCTTACCTAGAAGATCATTCTGTGGAATCCAGTCATATAGTCGTGTATTGGGCCCTAACGTATCTGGTTTCTTTCCTGTGTATCTCCACAGAACCTGTTAAGATAAATACCTTTAGTCTATTAAAAGATTTTCATAATCACAGAATTCAGTTACTTAGAATTAATCTAGTTCAATGCCTCCATATAACAGATAGCCAAACTGAGGCCTTAAGTGATTAAGTAATGGGTGTTTTTAAATTCAAACTGCAACTATATTTCAATTGCTTGCAATTGTCCTAATAGACAGGCTGTCATCAACAGGACAACTCTCATTTGGTAGATAAAGGAAACAAAACAATCTATATCTGAAATATTTACAAATTGGTGTTACTAGGCCATTCTGGTAAACGGAAGTTTTAAGTGGAGTTATCAGAAGCAAGAGGGAGGGATGTTACTTACAGTTCTTTTAAGAATTAGTGTTTTGAACTTCTGTTACTTATTTGGCAGTAACGTAAAGGCAAACATTGTCTTTTTTTTTTACTATTGTAAAATATACATAATGATATTTATCATTTTAATCTATTATAAGTTACAATTCTGTGACATTAAGTATATCAACAATGTGTGTAACCATCACCACCTTCTACACCTCAGAAGTTTTCATCATCCCAAACATAAACACTGCACCCTTAAACAATAACTCCCTGTTCCCCCACTCCCCAGTCCCTGGTAACCTCGATTTTTCTTTCTGTCTCTGAGAATTTGACAATTCTAGGTACTTCATATAAGTGAGATCATATAGTATTTGTCTTGTACTTACTGGCTTATTTCACTTAGCGTTATGTTCTTTAGCTTCATTCGTGTTGTAGTGCATTAGAATTTGTTGAATTTGGTTATTAGTTCTGGTAGCTTTTTATGGATTCTTGGAGACTTTCTGTATATAGGATCATGATATCTGCAAATAGAAAATGTTATACCTTTTCCTTTCCCATTAGGATGCCTTTTATTTCTTTCTCTTGTGTAAGATCCTAGGCTAGAAGGTCTGGTACGATGCTAAATAACATCGGTAAAAGCAGATGTCCTTGGATTGCTCCTTATCTTAGGAGGAAAGCTTTCAGTTTCCACCATGGAGTAAGATGTTACCTGTGGGTTTTCCAAAAATGTGCTTCACCATATTGAGGAATATTCCCTCTATTCCTGGTTATCTAAGAGGTTTTATCTTGAAAGAATGTTGGATTTTGTCAAATTCCCTTCTTGGGTGCAAGTGGAAATGATTGTGTGTTTTTTTTTATCCTTCATTCTATTAATGTAAGGTATTACATGGATAGATTTCTTGTGTTGACCCACTCTTGAATTCCTGTGATAGACTCCATTTTATCATAGTGAATACTCCTTTCAATATTCTGTTGGATTTGATGTGTAATATTTTGTTGAGGATTTTTATAGCTGCATTTACAAGGAATCTTGGTCTGTAATTTTATTTTCTTGGGATGTCCTCAGCTGGCTTCTGTATCAGGATAAATTGGGCATCACAGAACCATTTAGGAAGTGATTCCTCCTCCGCAAATTTTTGGAAGAAATTGAAAAAGATTAGTTTAATCCTTTAATTCTTCTTTAAATGTTTGATTCAATTTACCAGTGAAGCTATCTGGTCCAAAACTTTTCTTTGTTGAGAGATTTTGGATTACTAATTCAATCTCTTAATTTGTTATAGGTCATTTGAAATATTCCATTTCTTCTTCAGTCAGTTTAAACAACTTGTATGTTTCAAGGAATTTATTTTTTCTACATTGTCCAATTTTTTGGAATATACTTGTTCATAATATCCTTATAATCCTTTTGATCTTTTAAATTCAGTAGTGTTCTCCTCATATTCCTTTCTGATTTTAGTTACTTTTTCTCTTTGCCACTTTAGCTAAAGTTTTGATAATTTGTTGATCTTTTCAAAGAACTAACTTTTGGTTTCATTACTTTTCTCTATTGTTTTTCTATTGTCTGATCTATTTATCTTTGCTCTAATCTTCATTATTTCCTTCCTTCTGCTTGCTTTGGGTTTAGTTTGCCATCTTTTTCTTATGCTTTATGATATAAATTAGGTTATGATTTTATATCTTTCTTCTTGTTCAGTATAGGCATTACCGCTGTACATTTCCCTCTGAGAACTGCTTTCACTGCATCTCATAAGTTTCAGTCTGTTCAGTGTTCATTCATTTTAAGTATTATTTAACTATCCTTGTGATTTATTCTTTGACCATCTGGTTGTTAACTTCAATAGCATACAAAAACTCTACTCCTTTATAGCTCCATCCCCCTTTCTATTAACGATGTCACAAATTACATATTTATACACTGTGTTCCTAATAATGCAGATAATAATTGTTTTTTATGCATTTTTCTTTTCAATCAGTGAGAAAGTGAAGATATGGAGTTACATCCAAAAGTGTAATACTGCTAGCTTTTATAATTGCCTTTGTAGTTACTTTTACTGCAGATCATTAGTTCTTATGGTTTTGTGTTGCTATCTAGTACCCTTTCATTTTAACCTGAAAGACTCCCTCTTGTCTTTCTTGAAGTGCAGGTCTAGTGGTAATGATCTCCCCCAACTTTTATTTACCTGGGAATATTTTAATTTATACTTAATTTTTGAGGAAATTTTTGCCTGATGTAAGATTCTCTGTTGAGAATTTTTTGTTAGCATTTTGAGAATATCAACCTACTGCCTTCTGACCTCTAAGGTTTCTGATGAGAAATTGGCTGATCATCTTATTGAAGGTCATTTCTGTGATTAGTTGCTTCTATCTTGTTGTCTTCGAGATTCTACCATTCTCTCTGCTTTTGGAAAGCTTGATTGTAATGTGTCTTAGTGTGCGTCCCTGAGTTTATCCTATTTAATGTTTTTTGATCTTCTTGGATTTCTATATTCATTTCTCCCATTAAATCTGGGACACTTGCAACCACTATTACTTAAAATATTATTTTTGACCATTTCCCTCTTTATGGCACTTCCACAGTGTGTATGTTCCTCCACTTGGTGGTGTCTCAGAAGTCCCTTAGGCTTTGTTCATTTGTCTTCATTTATTTTTCTTTCCGTTCCTCTGACTCAACAATTTGTGTCATCTTGTCTTTAAGTTTGCCAGTTTCTTCTGCCTGTTCATATCTGCTTTGCAATCCAGGAGGAATTTTTCATGTCAATTATTATACTTCTCAGCTCCAGATTTCTTTTTGTTCTTTTCGTAGTTTCTTTCTCTTTATTGATCTTTTCATTTTGTTCCTATATTGTGTTTTCTTTTTATCAATATCTTCCTTTAGGTCTTTGATCATCTTTAAGGCAATTGTTTTAAAGTTTTTGTCTAGTAATTCCAATATCTAAGCTTCCTCAGGGATACTTTCTCTCAATTTATTTTGGCCCTTTGAGTGAAAGATACTTTCATGTATCTTTGTATGCCTTGAGATTTTTGTAGAGAACCAGACATTTGATTCTTATAATGTATTAACTGTGGAATTCAGATTCTCCTTTTTCGTTGTGGTTTGATTTTTCTTTTTTTTTTTTTTTTTTTTTTTCAGTTGTTGAAGGGTATCTCTTTGCCAGGAATCAGCCTGAGGCGAAAGCTTTACATCTTCTCAGATTTTTTTGTAGCCTGTGTCTCTTGCTGGACATGCACATGGCTTTCTAAATTCTACTCTCTGTGAGGGTGTTTTAAAGTGGTCCAATTCTTTATTGTCTTTCTCCCAAATGGAGAAAAAAGAAAAAATGAAAAAAAAAAAAGACAACGTTGCTCCTTTAATTCTCCTGAAAGCTGTTTTAGCTAGAGGGTTGTGGAAAAACTGACCAACTTCCATGCCTCTACCTCAGTGATGAAAGGCAGAAATCAACAATAGAATGCAGAAGCACAATATTTGGAGGATATGGTCCTTATTTTAAACCTTGGCTCCACAAAATCATGCAAGGAATACAGGCATTTAGCCTGCCTTGGGGCTAGGAGATGAGGAATTTGAAGCTGCTGCTCTGCTAAAAGCTGAATAAAAATTGACTGACTTTTCATTAATCACTATGTACCAGCCAAGCTCTCCGCTGGAAGTTGTGAGTGCTCTGATGGACTTCAGAGTTCTGATATAGTGACTTCAGACAGTTTCTGCCAGTATAATTGTTTTTAGGTTAAGTGGCATATCCTTGGTGCTGCCTACACCATCCTGATGTCACCTCTAATCATTGTATTTTAATGTAATAGAACATTGAATATTTTTATGAAGATCCTTTCTATCTCAAATATTTAAATGAGTACTACTGCAGCAAATAACCTGTGAAAGAAATTTGGTTATAAGTACAAGATTGTTACAATCACTTAGAACTTAAATGACATATATTCTGGTATTTTGACTAAAGCTAGAAAGGAAAATTATTCCTGCTAGTATAAGAAAAACATTACTCAGTTATAATCTAGAATGATATTAATAAAAAAATCATATTTTAAAGGAGTATCATAGAGTGAACTGCACAAATCTTTTGCTATATTACCAAAAGCTTCTTTTTTTAAAGATTGGCACCTGAGTTCACAACTGCTGCCAATTTTGCTTTTCTTTTTCTGATTTTTCTCCCCCAATCCCCACAGTATACAGCTGTGTATCTTTTAGGTGTGGGTCCTTCTAGTTGTGACATGTGGGACGCCACCTGAGCATGGCCTGACAAATGGTGCCATGTCCATGTCCAGGATCTGAACCAGTGAAACCCCTGGCTGTGGAAGTGGGGAATGCGAACTTAACCACTTGGCCACTGGGCCAGCCCCTACTAAAAGTTTTAACTGTTTAAACAGAAGAATCGCTATTTAGAAGTACTCCAAGAATCTAAGCTATCAGTACCAGGCTCAATCAAGGCCTTGTCCAAAATCATTAATTATAAGGAAATATAGTCCCAAGGACCTTGTGAATTGAGGCCGTGTTTTTGAATATCTTTTCCTTTACTCTCTGTCATGCTAGTTGTACCTTGTATGTATGCCTCAGACTTAAAGAAAAAAAAAGAGGGGCTGGCCCCGTGGCCGAGTGGTAAAGTTTGCATGCTCCACTTCAGTGGCCCAGGGTTCACTGGTTCAGACCCTGGGTGCAGACCTACACACTGCTCATCAAGGCATGCTGTAGTGGCATCCCACAGAGAAGAAGAAGAATGACTTACAACTAGGGTATACAACGATGTGCTGGGGCTTTAGGGAGGGGAAAAAATCAACAATGAGGAAGATTGGCAACAAACGTTAGCTCAGGGTCAATCTTCCCAGGAAAGAAAAAGCAGAACAACCAAACAAGATTAGATTACATGGAAACCTTAAAACCTAGCCATAAAGCTGATAGATTGTTTAAGATCAGTGAATGATTTAGTTGTAGTCCACTACTTAAAATACTGCAGCATGCTTTCCTGATAGTAATGCCAGATTTAAAGCAAGAGAGCAGTCAAATGTTTTTAGTTACCTTCTTCTGACATTTAATACTTTTTCTTTAAGGATCAGTTAAATTGATGCTAACGATACCAATAGCTTTTTCTACACTTGTAAAGTACACTTTTAAGGAGACGTTCATGGATTTTAGAATAGTTGCCCCTCAAAAATAAGATTACCTGACCTTCTGTGGAATCTGGGCGAGGGCTGATGCAATCATGTTAGACTTTTCTTCTGTGAGATTTTGGATCATTGACCCCAGAGTAAATACCACAGCTCCATCTTTTCCAGAGCTCTGGACAAACTCTTCTACCTCCTGTAAAGAAAACAGTCTTTGTAATATGAAACTCTAGAGTTAAGAGAATACAATAGTCATACACTTTTCTCAATGAGTCTCAATTATTATACAGTTCTACCTGTTCGTACATTAACCATTTTAAAGTATGAAATATGACCTGAAATCACTGGTTATTAGGCAAATTAAAAATGGTTTAAACAGAAGTTTTCTATCAAGCATGTCTAAACATTTTTCAGGTGTGTCTTTGTGTTTACAAGTTATTGACTACTAGTTACCTTCTACCAGGTGCTGAGCTCTTTACATGTATGATTGAACTTAAATACACAGTGATCTTAAGGGAGATGTATACTTTTGCTGATTAGAAGGCTGTCTCAGAGAGATTAAGCACTTTCTTCAAGGATATACAGCAGTAGATGGCAGCACCAAATTTCTAAGTTAAGCTTGTTGACTGTAAAGCCAATGACCATATTTAATGCTCTCTTTTGCTGTCCAACTCTCTCCTCAATGCTCCAAATGAATACTTGACTCCTACTTTATAATAAATAGCTCTGGTACTTCACTTCATATTTAACCTTGGATACTTTGAAGATTATCATTAACTTTTATGCTGAGTCAGTCAGTATAATGACATGGGAATGGTACGTTTACATTGTTTTTCTGTTTTTTAAGTTTCTCTTTATTGCGGTTCCATTCATACTTTATATAAGTTTCCACAAACACATATAGGAATGAGGTAGCCATATAACTTACTGACTAAATAAGTGATGTAGAAATACCTATGATGCACACTCAGGAGAGAACAGTAATATTATGGGAATGTATTGCTTTGCATTGAAAACAAAAATAGCATGTTTAATCATGTTGAAGTAAAAAGAAATTTTTCACCCTACGTTTAAGTACTAACCAAAATAAGCCAATCAAATCAGACAAGAAAAAATGTGTTGGATTTAAATGAGAAGACATAAATTTTGCACACATGTACATGACAATATTGGGGAAATGGCAATAACCAATAACACAAACCATTGTAAATGACAGTTGGTCAGATTCATAATCACTACACAAAAATCAATAATATTTCTTCACAACAGCAATAACCAATGTGAACGTTTAAAATGAGTCATCATTCACAGTAGTAATTAAAAAATGTAAACTGTTTTAAGAGTATAAATATGTACTTTTATTGAAAAAAGTTTCAAATTCTAGTAAATGACGTAAAACAAGACCTTGATATATAGAGAGATGTATTGTGTGTATTAGTCAGTGTTCTCCAGAGAAACAGAACCAATACTATGTGTGTATACATATCGATCTATATCAATCTGTCTATCCATCTCTCTCTCTCTCTCCCTCCTCCCCCCTTTCTCTATCTATCTACCTATCTATCAATCAAGAAAGATTTATTTTATGGAATTGGCTCATGTGATTATAGAGCCTGGTAACTCCAAAATCTGCAGGTAGGCCATCAGACTGGAGATCCAGAGAAGAGCCAATGTTGCTCAAATCAGAAGGCCTTCTGCTGTCAGACACTGCCTTAGCTTGAGAGAGGTCAGTCTTTTGTTCTATTCATGTCTTCATCTAATTGAGTGAGGCTCATTCACATAATGGAAAGCAATTTGTGTTACTCAAAGCTCACTAATTAAATGTTAATCTCATCCAAAAATACCCTTGCAGAAGCATCCAGAAAATGTTGGAAATATATTTGGGTACCTGGCCCAGGCAAGTTGACACATAAAAGTAACCATCATACTGTGGTTATTGGTGGATTGACTTAATATATAAAACTATCAATTTTTTATATTAATTTTCAATTATGGCATAATTTTCTTGATAAATTGGCAAACGTTTTAAAATTTATATAGAATATCTGTCTATAAATAATTAATGAAATTTGAAAAAGAAAAGGAAATACTAGGAACTTCTTAAATCAGATAATAATGCATAATACATTTGGTGCTACTAACCTCCTAACAGACAAAGTGAACAAAAGAACAAAATATTGAGACTAGAAAAAGAACCATGAGTATGTAAAAGCCTGCTATATATAAAGGTGATATCACAAGTCATTGAGACAACCAGTGAGAAAAATTCATACTGAGTAGATTATTTACTAGTAGGTAAAGCTATAAAAATATATTCACTACTTAGACATAAAAGGGAGGGGACTGTTTACCTCATATTATACATTAATATAAAATCTAAATAGGTTAAGTGAATCCATATTAAAGTACAATATTATAATTTTTAAAATAAAATATAAAACAGTAGCTTTATAATGTTAGAAATGAGAAAAATATTTTAAATGAGACTTGAAAAGTACAAACCATAAAGTACAAATGACGGATTTGATTACATCAAATTTAGTACTTTATTTTTAAAGAACGAAGTCAGAGGTAACATAACACATATATGGATTCGTAGAGGAAGATATTTGCAATGGCTAAAACAAGAATTAATACCTGGATATTCTAGACTATGGGAAGAATTTGTATTGCATGGAAAGAAAAACAATATATTATCCGAAAGAAAAATATACCAAGTATGTGAGTTTAACACAGAAAATCAGAATAACTGATAAGTTTCTGAAAAGATGTTCAACTGTGTTATTAATTGAAATTATCAATAAAAGACAACAATATGATACCACTTTACCCTTATGAAACTGACACATATTAGAAAATAGAAAACTATAAAGGGCTAGATACGATATGGAAGATAAGACCACTCAAGCACTCCCGAAGAAACTATACATCTGTATGGCTTTTTAGTGAAATTAAATGCAGAATGAAATTAAGTATGCATGTATACATGACTCCACAACCCCACTGTTGGATGTGTATCTGAAATATATGCAAGTACCATAAAGGAACATATTTGAAACTTTTCTTCACTCTACTCTTTGTTGTAGGATAGAGATGGAGACATCTAATTGTCCTTTATGGGAAATAAATAAACAAAATGTTGTAAATACATGCACCAAAAATCTCTGCAGCAGCCGGAATTAATGAAATATATTTAAAAATAGAAACTTGGATACACATTAAAAAATTAGAGGAGTAAAAGAAGGCAAATGTGAATTATAGCATAACCCCATTTACATAATTAAGCTCAAATCAATGCTATATATTTTTCAAAGATCCACAGTTATCTGTATAAATTGGAATGAGAATAAATATTACGTGCACTTGACTAACTGTCTACTGGTTGTGGGTAATGGAAGAGAAGAAGACAAAGGAAACATGTAAGAAAATAAATCAAAAGGGGTGCTTGATATGGGCTGATTATGGAATGGCATGAGTTGAGGGTGTGATTAACACATTCTGAGGACTGAGGTTCAAGCGAACAAACAAAAACAAAACCTAAAATCCATGGTTCCTCAAACATAGATTTTAGCATTCAAAATCAAACTGACATTTTTTCCACATTGTAGTGGGAGGGAAATCATTCTTTCCTCTTCCTAACCTGTCCCTATGTCTCTCTTAGAAGGAAGAAATGAAAGCCTGTTTGGTTCTTACTGTAGAACCCTGATTGGGTCACATTTCTAGGAGATTGTTTTACTGAGTGTGGCAAGAACACCTAGACATGGGTCAGTGTGGCTCTTTCCCTACTTCTTCTGTAGATGAGGCCAAAAGTTTAAGAAGAAAAGAAGTATTTCAAGACAGGCTTTGGATCCTGTTTTCTTCTTTTCATGCTTAATTGATCTCATTACTCTGACATAGCTACCTGATTACTGATGACACTTTGATTTAAAGGAAGCTGAAGCTATGTACAGTTGAGTCTAAACAAAAGATCCAGAATAATTTACTACATAGAGATTAAGGCACGAATGTAGTTAATAAAAGAGCTTACACTTATTAATCATTTGCCATTGTACGTACACTAACTCAAACACAGCACACAAATATGGTTATTGTTTGTGGAAAGATTCAAATTGTACCAGGTTCTCCCACTTTGTTTCTACTAAAGCCTCAACCTCGTGATTACTTTGCTTTTCACCCTCAATATGAGTTACTTTGCACGTTCACATTTGTTCTTATATTTGTATGTAACATAGATTTAGTGTCCTTAATCAGCTTTTAATTATTAGGAATATTATTGAAAATCCTGAAACATTTTAATGCCAAAATTTAACATGAATTATTCAAAAAATTAAATATTATGAAAATACTTTCTATATTAAAGACACTTTACTGTCATCATAGACTTAGGAATCAATTTTTTCACAAGCATGAGAGCCTGTGCATTATTTGAATAGAGATTGGGGTTGTGCTTTGTAATGTCCTCAAGGGCCTACTGTACTTTGGTGAGAGGAGACAGGGGACATAAAATTCCACTGGAAATACGTTAAAGCTCTGACTCTTTCTGGGTATCCCTTTTCTTTTAAGGAAGATTGGCCCTGGGCTAACTTCTGCTGCCAATCCTCCTCTTTTTTAGCTGAGGAAGACTGGCCCTGAGCTAACATCCATGCCCATCTTATCTACTTTATATGTGGGACACCTTCCACAGCATGGCTTGACAAGTGGTGTGTAGGTCCACACCCAGGATCTGAATCCGCCAACCCCGGGCTGCCAAAACAGAATGTGTGAACTTAACCTCTGTCCAACTGGGCCAGCCCCCCTTTCTGGGTATTCTTAAAGCTCATATGAAAAACATCAGATAGACCCTCCATGCCACACTGTTGGTAAAATAAATAAATACATAAATACACACAAACACATAGGTGTGTTACTGGATGAATAATAAGGCAATAGCAGGCTTCTGAATATGTTTGAATTATTAAGATATGGCATATAGCATATAAGCAAGTCTCACACTATCCCAACAGTTGACTTCTTTGCTTTTAGAATTGAATCTTGGGACTGAGCCCATGGCCAAATGGTTAAGTTCACACACTCACATTGGGCGGGCCACAGTTTCACTGGTTAGGATTCTGGGCACTGACCTAGCATCGCTCATCAAGACATGCTGAGGTGGCATCCCACATAGCAGAGCCAGAATAACCTACCACTACAATATGAAATTATGTACTGGGGAGCTTTGGGGAGAAGAAGAGGAAAAAAAAAAAGATTGACAACAAATATTAGCTCAGATGCCAATAAAAAACAAAAAAAGAATTGAATCCTTACAGTGCTTAGATCTTTTATCCAAAAAGTATGAAGTAATATGAAGGTGGCTCAGAATATTTAAGTGACTACTTTCTGAGCAGGAGCAATGGTTTAGAACAATAAAGAATGAAATTCCAGTAATATTTAACTTGTCAAAATTAAATTACTGTGTTCATATAACAAGATAAAGTAAAGATTTCTTACGTGATTTAAAATTCCCAAATATTTCAGACTCTTTAATGAGTATTTCATGTACTTCCTGGTCTTATCTGAAACTTGGGATTTGGCCTATAATCCTTTCACTATACTCTACTGATTTTATCCTACCTGCATCAGGGGCCAGACAGAGGCTTGATCTGTGTCCTTCCCTCTCCTGACTGAATTTCCAACCATTTCTTTCTCTATACTTTCAAAAAATATCCTTGTCTTTATGTGTTTAATCTGTATTATCAACTACCCGTGCTCAGTATGCCACCTGTCAGACTTTCAGCAACACCCCTGTTCAGAGAAGCCTTTGCCATCTGGGTCACAGTCTTCTGGTCCATCCCAAATTCTACGTCTACCCAGGGTGACTTAACCAATACAAAATCATGTCTTCTTATTCCTTGACATCATTATTTTAAATCACTGCTTATGGAAAAGGCAAAACAATGCAGGGAGTAAAAGAATTAGTTATTTCCCAGGATTTAGGGGCAGAGAGGGATAAATAAGTGGAGCACAGGGGATTTTTAGGGCAAAGAAACTTTGCTATATGATACTATCAGTGTGGATGCATCTCATTTTACATTTATCAAAACCTATAGAAAGTACAACACAAACAGTTAACCTTAATGAAAACTGTGGCCTTTGGCGATGCTTATGTGTTAATGTTAGTCTATTGATTGTAACAAATGTGCCACACTGGTGTGGGATATTGATGGTGGGGGGAAGCTGTGAGTGGGAAGAAGACAGGAGATAGGTCAAACTCTCTGTACTTTCTGTTCAATTTTTCTGTGAATGTAAATGGATATAAAAAAAAGTTTATCACAAACAATACATAAACATATCCCTTGAGATTAAGAATGCTGAATTCAGTAACTGAAACTAGACACTGCATTGGCACATCAAATTCAGCATGCCCAAATATAAACACTATTTTCCCTCACAACTGTTCCTCACCTTAATAAATGCCAATGTGCTTAACTAAAGTGCCCATAAAAAGAAACAATAGAGGAAAGACATACAAAGAAATGGAAGCCAAGGATTTGTTCTTGAACTCTCTCCCTTAATCTCCACTTCCAGCCAATAACCAAATCCTATTGAATTTCTTTGTAAATACTTCTTAAATCTCTGCACTTCCACTCAAATCACTATCATATTGTAGTTTGGATCTCTATAATCTCTTTCAGGAAGCATTGCAACTGTATCTTAGCTTATTTCCTTTCTTCAAATCTTGCTCCATTCCAAAAAATTTAATAGCCAAGTTTTATGAAAGGGTAAGATGCATCATGTTACTGCTTAAAAATTTTGCATTGATCCTTCACTGACCTTAAATTTGAAGTAAAGAATACTTAGTAGTGCCCATTATTTTTTATAACCTATCCCCTGATTATCTCTCTAGTCTATTTTCTCTCCTTTATTAAAACAAAACTGTTCATCATCACTGCACTTCTGCCAGATCTTTTGGATAAACCTTCATATCTCAGTTTGATTGTTCTCAAATTATTATAATTCCTCACAGGTGTCCATTTCTAAGATGAAGTGATGCTAAATAACATGCAACTACAAAAACTCAGTGCCTTAAAACAACACTTTCTTTCTCATGCTGTATGTCCATTTAACGAGCTGCAGTTGGTGCATATATTTTTTAATCCAGAACTCAGGTTGACAGAATAGCCCATATTTGAAACACAGCCTGTTGAGGTAACAAAGGAAAAGAAAATTCTGGAGTATCTGGACCCGCCAATTAGGTGTTGGTCCTTGAATGATCAAAGACACTTAGTTTATAGTCGTTGCCCAGAGAGTACTTCACGTTTCCACTAAACGCAGGGCTAGGAATTTCATTGGTATTAAATATTTGGTATACTTGATGAGGATAACTAATGATTGCCATGTTAATGTTAAAAGTTCCCTACGTCAGTATAATAGCCTAAGAGGATACTGTCCATTAATTCCTGTGTCTATGTTTTCAGTTTGAGGTCAAATATTTTAAATAATAAACTAAAAATCATTCCAAAAGACAAATACTCAAGGAAGCAAACATAAGGACATTTAATTACCTTCGGGAGGGGCTTTGCAGGCTTGCAGTGTAGTCCTCCAACAAATTCAAAGTGAGGTAAATAAGGGTAAGGAAATTCAAAATCCCAGGAAGTTCGAATCAACCACATTTCAGCTTTCCCCATAGTCTCACATATTGTGGTAGGTTTTCCTGAATAAAAAGGAAGGGTAATAGGGGAAAAACAAACTGATTTGTTAAGCGCAAAATGTTTTACCATCCAATTTTCTAAGAAAAATTCATAAAGACCCAATTTGAGGCCTATGTAATGCATGAGAAATCAACTGGCCTCCCACTCATCAAAAGTATACCATAGTGAGATTATGAATAACCAAAGTAGGGTTTCAGTCCAGAACAAGGAAAAAGTCTACTGATAATACAGTCTCTCTGCTTGAGCTAAGCCTGAGCCCTAGTCCCTGCTCAAAGTTGTCAAATGCTCCCAGCAGGAAAAACTCAGGCAGTGATCCTCAGCTCATGGTGGCAGTGTCTCCTCCTCTTCTCCAATTCCAGTTTATCTCACCCTTGGTGCTCCAAAAGGCTTTTGATATCTTTGAAAAAGGACTTTTGTAATTTATCCATCTTTCTCTGGTGTTTCCAAGTGTGCTGCCATAACTAATTACATCTTACCAGGACTGGAAATCTTTTGACAAACTTTTCAAAAGTGATTATCCTCTTGCTATCCAAAATGAAATTTCCTGTTTCAGAAAACTTTGTTCTCTTTGACGAAGATATAGCACTGCATGATAATCTGGAGGCAAAATATTTGCTCTTCCGACATATTTAGTTGTTTAACAGTGCAAAGGTCACCTTTCAAAGAAGTGGCAACCATTAAGCATTAATACAACAAGAACTCAAATTAGGGACTCTGATTAAATCATTTTCCCTTAGTTAGGAGCCAGAGCTTCATTTCTAAATTCTGTTCAGTTATTGTGGAATAAGGAAGGTTACTCACACATTTGGTGTCCTTCTGAAATACATATTCAGTACTATTGATAAGAGGAAATCATAATTACTACAAGGTTTCCCAACATATGGCTTTTTGAATATTCTCTTTGATGTTCTAAGTGCACTAAGGTTTGATCAAAAAATATAAGGGATTTTGAACTTACCAGGACAATCTATCTGTATAAGAGATCACAAGCAAATATCCATAATTTATGGGTTTGATCATGATAATGACAATGATATTTAAAATCCAGTTTTATATTCTGTATGTATCTCATTTAGGTACCTCATCGGAGTCGGCTATGGGTATAATCTTATTCTCTTCATGTGATATTTCACTCCCTCCTCATTTGTACGACAGTATTTTTTTTGAGATATAACTTATATACCATACAAGCCTTCCTTTTAAACACAACTGAGTAGTTTTTAGCATATTGGTAAAGTTGTACAACCATCACCACTATTTAATTTTAGAATATTTTCGTTTCCCTACAAAAAATCTCATGTCCGTTGGCAGTCAGCCTCTATTTCTCCCTCTTCACAGCCCCTGACAAACATTAATCTACACTCTGTTTTTATTGGCCTATTCCAGAATAATCTTACATCATTTCATATAAATGAAATTATACACTATGTATTCTTATTGCTACCTTCTTTCACTTAGCGTAATATTTTCAAGGTACGTCCATGTTGTAGTATCTATCAGTATTTCCCTACATATTTATTGCTGCATAATGTTTCTTTGTATGTCTATACTTCATTTTGTTTATTTATCAGTTGATGAACATTTGGGCTCTTTCCATTTTTGGCTACTATGAATAATGCTCCTATGAGCATTCATGTACATATTTGTGTGGGCATATGTTTTCATTTATCTTGTATGTATACATTGTATGTATGGAGTAGAATTACAGAATCATGTAGTTTATTGACTCTCTTTCTTAACAAGATGATATCTTTTTCATCTTAAATCTCTTCTCCTGAGATGATATCTAATGTGCTTAATGTATCTTATTGAAATGAAGACAATATAGTACAAGAGGAATAAAAAGTAATGGATTTGGATAAGACGTTATGAGAAAATGTTCCAAATTTGGAAATCAAAAGAAATTATGGTATGCCCTTTTGATTCCATGCTGCAGAATTTTGAGCAAGCAAAGAAGGATTGTTTAAATTTTAGAAGATTGTGTCTATGGTTTACTCAGTCATTTGTTATTGATTTATTACAAACTTTTGAGTCCAGATACAGTAACATTGTGTTAACTTGTATATTTCTGTGTAGTAGAAAGGATCACCTCCTAAATTATGATTTTATTGTCCTATAGTATACTAACCACTGTTATGTGTAACCTAGTACTATTATCTTAACATTCCTTTTATTCCCCAAAAATGTTTGTAAATAGTTCTTAAAAATATTTTTTGAACCTAATTTGCATCTTACTGATTTCTTCCTCAGTGATTTGGATTGATCTATGGTATAATTCACTTAATAACTATTTAAGAGTTACAAGTTATATTTTTAACATTAGAAAAATATATGTAGAGTGCATTTTTTTTGAGGAAGATTAGCCCTAAGCTAACATCCATGCCCATCTTCCTCTACTTTATATGTGGAATGCCTACCACAGCATGGCTTGCCCAGTGGTGCCATGTCCACACCCGGGACCCGAACCAGTGAACCGTGGGCCACCAAAGCAGAACATGCTCACTTAACTGCTGTGCCACCAGGTCGGCCTCTATGTAGAATACATTTTAAAATGAGGGTCCTGAATTCTGAATAACCAAATGACAATCTATAGCTAACAGGATTTTTTTTTTTTTTTTTTTTGAGGAAGATCAGCCCTGAGCTTTCTGCTGCCAATGCTCTCTTTTTGCTGAGGAAGACTGGCCCTGAGCGAACATCTGTGCCTATCTTCCTCCACTTTATGTGTGGGATGCCTGCCACAGCATGGCTTTCCAAGTGCTGCCATGTCTGCACCCGGGATCCAAACTGGTGAACTCCGGACACTGAAGCGGAACGTGCGAACTTAACCACTGCGCCACCAGGCAGGCCCCGCTAACAGTACTTTTTTACTTTATGAAAGTAAAAGAAATATTTTCCTTCTATTTATCAAGTCTTAATTATTCTTTCTCAGATTATTGATATGCTCCCCAAAGAATATTCTAGCGGGTCAAGAATTGGGAAAGAGTCAGAGACAGAGTCATACCTTATCTCTAATGCTTCACTGTGTAAGAGGTTCCAAAACTGAGTACCAAACTGTTAAAACCAGAAGTAAATAAACAATTTTGATCCAGCCGTTGATCAGTCACTCCCTAATCCATGACTCAGAAAATGTCTGCAAGATGAGATTCTAAGTTATCTTTTCTCAGTTTTGCCTTTTGCTGCTTGATTCTGACCATGGATAAGTGATGGGTGCAGCAGTCTCTGCCTACATTTCTTTTAGGATCAAGTCTTGAAGAAATAAGCACCTGCTTCTGTCACAGAACACCTAGAAAAGTCTCAATGCAATGTGTCGGCCTTGATGAGGTCATATGCCTCCTTGAACATGTGGCATATTCCTTGACAGCATATTTTATTGAAAACACTCATTTTTTTGTGTGAGTTGTGAGGAATGATTTCTCAGAGAAAAGTTAGAATAGATACCAGAAAAAACTAAGAGTTGCTGCTTTATAAAATAGGAGACCACAACTCTAAAGGAAAATTTTAATATTTTAAGGAATAAACTTAACCTTAATAATGATAAGGTATTAGAAATACTTCTGCTAAAATTAGCAACAAGGAGAAGATGGCAGCATAGACAGACTCTGAACACACTTCCTCCCACTACACAACCAGGTTACAACTATTTTTGGAAAAATTATCCTGGAGAGAAAACTGAAAACTGGATGAAAAGAACCCCTACAAGAGACAGTCCTGACTGAGGCAGAAGAGACAGAAATTCTTTCTGAAGAGAAGAAAAGCCACATTCGTGAGCCACGAAGTTTCACAGCCAGCCAGGTGAGAGCCACACTCAGGTACACAGCCCTTCCTGGAGGAGTGGGGACCTGAGTAGCTGCCTGTTACCACTATAAGCACCCTTCAGACTAAGAACAACTGAGATGAGTGTCCTACTATCTTGCTTCACTGGTTGTTAACTGCAATAGGGAATACGCCAAGAAAAGCTATCAGATGAAAGCCGAAAAAACCCAACTCTTAAAGCGCCCATGCACAAGTTCACCCATCTCAAAGAGCAGCCTAAATCACCAGAAAGAAGGCTGCACAGTCCTTTGGTGAAAAGGGACTCACCTGGTAGGCTCTGGGTGTATCACAGTGAGAGGTGAGACCTCTCCAGAGACTGAGACTTTGACTGTAGTCATTGTTGTGACCTAGTGCAGGCATGTTGATGCTGTTCAAAGTTCAGCCCAATCTACTATAAATAGGTTGAGAGGGTCAAAGAAGAGTTCTCTGCATTGCGAACTTCATGCACTTCGTTTAAGTCAAGGTTTTGACAGAGCGGGAGCTGATCATGAAGACTGCAAAAGGCTTCTGTGTCCCTTTCATGCTGCATCTGTAGAGGATCATGGCCCCCAATCTAGGAAGGCTGACAAGTAGCCTGAAGGCTTGCTGTTGGGTGGTGCCTGTCCTTCTCTCAGGCTTCCTGGCCTGGCTGAATTGGATTAAATCTGCACTCTAGTGGGTGTGGCAGGCCCCTGGGCTAACAGGTCAGGAGAAGTTCTTCACAAATGGGCAGATTTCATTATTTCTTATGGCTGAGTAGTATTCCATTGTGTATATATGCCTCATCTTCTTTATCCACTTGTCCCTTGATGGTTACATATGATTTACATTTGAGCAGAATTGTCCCTCTAGTATTTCTCTTAATCATAACACTGCTAGATATTCTAGGTGGAAAGGAGGGTACCATCTACTACCAGAATGAGATAATATGTGCACCGTAAGAAGTATTAAGGCAGAGAGAAGATTTAAATCCAATATTCTACTGCTAAATTTACTGCTCTTTCTGCTAAATCACACCTATCTTCAAAAGAAAAAGTATTCTTTTTTTTCTGTTACTGTAGATATGAGTTCAAGTTTTGATTCTAGCTTAGATTAATATTATAATGAGAAGAGCTATCTTAGAATAGAAAAAGCAAGTCATGAAGAAAATAAAAATAATTTTTTCCTTCCTTACATCACATCTATTCTATTTTCTTTGCTTTTTCAATCTGAGA